TTTGGAGCACAGTTTCATTGAACTTCAAGAACAATAAAGCACTCCTCATTTTCTAAGTGCTATCTTGATCAAATTGGAACTTACCACAGAATTTTGCTTAGAGGACACTGTCAAAATAAATGTGTGGTTTATCCAGTAACTGTGATCAGGGGAAGATACTAACTGGACAGCATGGTATGTAGGAGCAGATAAGCTTTAGGCCCCAAGGCAACTATTAAAAACCACATCAACATCTCGCTGAGTAAGGACTGAATAGTTTTCCTGACACAGCAGCCCTTATTCCCAATACCTTTCTGTCCTGGTATTTCTCTGTTTTGTTTTGGCTTTTTTTCTCTCTCTATTAACTAAAATCCCTTGTTTTACAGCACTATGGGGTGACAGCTAGCAAGAGACAGTGCTCTGAATCGGATGACATTTGTTCAATCTGCCAAGCTGAATTTCAGAAGCCTATTCTGCTTATCTGCCAGGTAATACACACTATGAGAATTATTTGTTGCAAACTTAAAATTACTTTAACCAGCTGGTAAACCCACCAACATGAAGTTAGATTAGTGAGTGTGTGTCTTCTGATTATTTTTAGAAATTAGGCTATGCAAATTATATACCATCTTATAAATGGAAGAGCTTAGAAGCTCTAAGTTCTCATTCTTTTCATTACAGCACACATTTTGTGAAGAATGCATCTCTTTATGGTTTAATAGAGAAAAAACGTGTCCACTCTGCAGAACTGTTATTGCAGACCATGTTAACAAGTGGAAGGATGGAGCTACATCTATGCATCTACAGATTTTCTAAAGCATGTTGAAACAACTTGGTTTGCCATTTGTTTGTTCAAGCCAAGGTTTTTCAGTTTACTGCAGATAAACTGTAGGTGGCAGAAGGAACGAGTTCCCAAATTCTAGATAACATGCTTCTATGAAACGTTCTGGTACTTAAAACCGCACAGAAAACGTTAACTTGACCTTAAGCATAAGAAAAGTAAGTTTACAGACTGGATGCACAGAAGTCGGCATTGCTTCTCTTGTGATGCTTGTAGGAAACAAGTCCTTGAAAAAATGCTGCGTTATTTCTTGTAGCAGCTTCTTAATGCAACATTTTATCTTAAAAGTTTTCAGTAGAGTTCCACATTGTACTGAATTGTATTTACCTTTCTAACATGACTCAAATCAAAAGGTTGACCTACCAATTTTATTAAGCTAATGAGTAAATTTTGTACTCTGGACTACAGTGAGAATTAGAGCTACTTGTCACTTTTTGCATTAAAGATCCTTTAATGCTTGCCCAACTGATGAGAGAAATGAGCTTCTTATTCATGCACTTGTAACAGCAACTATTTCTCACTGTACCTGGAGATAAGCCATAAGACTTTTCCCCTTTAGGTTCTTGTAGGCTTCTAATGGATCTTTGGCTCAATAGAGAAACCAACCACTATTGGTAGTTTTTTACTTAACATTTTACAAAGTTGATATTTTTAAAACAAATCCTTAATACTATATTTTTGTTGTAACAGGAACCAGATTTTCTTACAGGGGAGAACCTATTTTATACTATATTTGCAATTTGTAGTATGCATAAAAATCAGAGAGAATAAATGCATTTAAATCTATTCGTTTGGTGCATGTTGAATAAAGAAGTAAGATTCATTACGGTTTTAAGTATGACCCTACACCTAAGCACAGAACAGCTCACTGCTAGCTATACTTTTCCTGTTAAACTAATGTCTCTGAAAAACAAAAACCATCCAAATGCTACAACTTATTCATGACTAGTCTTTATGCTAATTGTAGAGCTAAGTTAGATAAAATCTCCCTTTTTTTCCTACTTGTCTTTTTTCACCTTGCTATTCAGCTAAAACTGAAAAAAAACCACTCAAATTATTGTTACAGCAAAGTTAAACTGAGTTGCCATTTACTTGAGCATGTCTTAATAGCTTTATGGAACTTGTAAATTTGGGAAAAAAAAACCCACAACCCTACAATTAAAAAGTTAGAGACTGACTTGATGGGTGATGTAGTAACTCAACTAGCCAGGCAGAGTATCTGAGTACTATGAAGTTGCAGCTGACACAGCCAGATTTATAGGGCATGATGGCACCCTTAAAGGTACAGGTAAACCAGTAGAATTTAGTATAAATTAGAATTTAGATGGAAGATTCAAGCTAAGAGGTATCATTTTATGTTCAACCTGGGTTTTGCTATAGTGTGCTGTGTATTTTTCTAATTGCATATTTGTTTGAAGTTTACTGCAGTTCAGTGTAATTATGCCCTATGATTGCTTCACCATGGTACTGGAGTGACTGGGCAAAAAGACTCCAGCTTAAAGAAAACAGGCAAAAGCTTCTAAATCTGTAACTGGAAACCTATGGGAGTAGAAGAGGCTGGTTCTCATGGAAGCCATTCCCAGCAGGTGAGGTACATAACTGGAGAATGTGCAGCTGAATGGCATCAGAGCAATCCTGAGGGTGGCAGGGAAGAATGAGAGCTTGGTCACCGCCACAGCTGTGCTGTAAGGGGTTTGTGCCTGTATCTTCAGTTCTGTCCGAACAAACTGCTCTTTGTTTCCCCAGAGAGGTCTAGCTATGCCTTAACTTGCATTTGAAGTTTGTACAAGATCAGAACTGTTCATTTTTAAGTTTCATCAGTGCTTATACTCAGACTGCTGCTGCTGCAGAGCTTCCCTTGAGAGATGGACAAGAACTGAATCAGTCAAAGAACAAAAATCAGTAGGGGGAACTTAAGGCTGGATTTGGAATCTCTGGTGGGACCACAAAGACATTGGCAGCTGACTTGGTTACAAAACCATATTTAGGCTTTCCCAAACTTAATCATGAACATACGGTTGAGCTTCTTTAGCATTTGAAGGTTTTTCTCTTCATACAGGCATAGTGTGGGTACTGTGTAAACACAAGGAGTGCTCTACTTAATTTAGTCAACAAGTAACACCTTTAGAAAAAGCTTTGCTTGTGTGAGTAAAATGAGTGACTAAGCCCAATACACAGCTTAGAAGGGCAGATGTACTAACCAATCCTTCCTAAAATACTGGGCAAACCAAAAATTGTAACTTACTGTGGATTAGCTTTTCCTGAAACACCAATACCAACAGCTTAATCACTCTTTAATTAAAAAATCCTCTCAGAGAAAATACATTCTAAGTTCATCAGACTTACGATGTTAGAACAAGGAAATGCACTTCCTGATGCTAGGAAGTTTATTGATTATTGATTAGATTCTTGATTAAATTAACCACCTACCTGGAATGGGCAGCCATTCATCAGAATTGCAGTAGTCTGTGACAGCGTTTTAAACAGCTTTTTAGAACAACAGGTCTAAATCACCGTGTGCATTCCTGAAATCTTAACTGGGAAGGTACAGATGCTTCATACAGGGAAATTTGACAGAAATTAACCTGAACTAAATTTTCTTTTCCTATAGAATGGAACTATGTATCAGCTACTTACCTCAATAGGTAGTTCAGTATCTGAACCAGATCCTCTACGCTGAGGAATTAAGACCTCGAGTAAGACCAGCATTATTACTAAAAAATATGAAACTAATTTAGAAGTACTACACTTACAATTAGGGAAAAAAAAAACCTTCAACCCAAGAACTTGTCAGTGTCACCAAAGACTATTTAATGGAGAACAACAAAACATGGCATCAGTGCTTTAAGGCAGCCCTGGGTTGTTGCTGATCCTTTGGTCTTTGTCTATCACAGAGTAGTAACAACACCTTACTAAGTCAGGGTGGATATTGGGCAGAGATAGGAGTAGGGAACAATTTGTCTTTTATTCACTCTTTTGATGAGTTTTTTTTGTCCTTCAGGAGAGAGTGAAAATTATCCAAACCCAGTAATATTATCAAACACATTTTATTAAAAATCAAAGAACTAAAAAGAGATTTTGATCAACCAGTTAGGATTTACACTTCATAAACGAAACAAGTCATTCTCATTTTAGTTACAGAGAGGAAAAAACCCAACTTACACCCATGAATGACATCCTCTCTGATCCACTTGTCAGCATCATGGTATCAAGATTCAACTCTTCCTTATTAAGCCCGCTCAGGCCAGGGTAGCTGCCCTGCTTTCCACACACACAGACACCCAGCACACATCTGACTGCAGGAGACACAACAGGAAAGGGAATGACAAGTGGCAATCCACAGGCACTCTTTTAAGAGCCTAAGAACCTTGGTGAAGGTGCCAGCCCTTGGTACAACGGATCAGAACTAGCATCTGTCAGGTCCTTTAAGTTCTCAGTGGAATTCCTCTTTCCTCCCTTTCCCTTCAAAGCTGTCATGAAAGACAATGATTTAGATCCACAGTTAAGACCTATCTAATTCCTAAAAAAAAATAAAATAAAATAAAAAAGGTCACTTGGATTAGCATATGTTTAAATTTGCATTTAGTTGCTATTCACATCCACCTTACTCAGCAGTTGAGTATATTTAGTTACCGTAAACTGTGAAAGATAAAAAACAGAGTAGGGATTACCTTTATTTCCACTAAGGCAGCTCAAGTGTGTTTCTTGAAGACAGCTACAAAGCCAAGTTAATCTAGAAAAAAACAATCTGTGGAAGTTCATCTATTTCATATATAGGAACTGTGTACATTATATCATCAAGGATCTGCAGGAAGACTATATAAGTAATTTGCCTTTTTCTTAACCACTTCTCCTCCCTTACCTCTTAGGATAAAGGATTTCCCTTTAAACTGGGAAGCTGAAACAGTGACTGTCCTGCTATAGAGACAGGATTTTAAAGAGCCAACCAGGACCCCGAAACCCCAGTAGATATCCTTAAAAACAACAGCAGTCCGTCAGTGTTTGATGCACTTCCTGATTAACAGTAAGAGAATGGATGTTTGTATTACAAGGAGACTAAACCCAGGGTAAACATCGACTGTGTAGGTAGAGTGGACTTAAAAATTAAATGCTCTTCAGCAGTTCAGCTTTTAGATAGCAAGACCCCCCCCAAAAAGGGATATTCAAAAGAACAATTGACTCATTTATTTTCATCTTTTATTATGAGCTAATACCAGGATGACATTCAAATGTCAGATGGCACAATTAAGACAGTCTTGGTAGGAATTATTCCAGCATTCCCAAAATTACAATTTAGTACACGAATGGCATCAAATTGTATGCATCACTCCCACAGCGAATTATGAAATTCTGAGTATCTTATACCAGAATAGGTTCTGCATCAAATGGGAAATAAAAACTGCTGGTAACACAGCTGACCTATGAACCTTTTGAGATAATGACCTGCAGAACAGAACAGTCCCCTACTTAACATCTAGTAAAAAAAAATATGACTTTTGTTCAAGTTTAATACTTTTATATGGTTAGCCACAACAGGTATTAACCTCAGTTTTACTATATTTTTGTAATGCTACAAAAATCCTATAAAATCAAATTATAGTGAATTTTTCAGTGATTATAATTAAAAAAGCGCAGCTTGTACAAAATAAAAAAAATAAGATTCTATACTCTAATGAAAAATTTAAGACATTTTTAAATGAACAAAAGAAAGCACTTGTTAAGCTCTCCAATATTCAATGCATTCTGCACTTATCTGAAATAGCCAGACGGGAGCTAGAACTCCACTCCCCTTAGTTCACGACTAGTAATTTTGACACTATTATATATATATAGAGGATCTATGTCTGATATTTTTACAAATAAATACAGGATAAACCATATTGCATAGTGTGTGCTTTCTGTCTGAGTCACACTCCAAAAGTTTCACAGTTATGGTAGGGAATTAAACTTACCACCTATGGGATGAAACCTTGTCAATACATGAAATTTACTTGTAAAACTGATGAACTGTAGTTTTAATTAATCAGTGAACTCAGACAAACAACTCTTGCCATTCTTGCCAGCCATATTAAACCAATTCTACTGGACAATTAACATCCAGCCAACCAAAAAGCAACTGTTAGCTGTAGCTAGGACCAAGAGAGATCTGCATCAAAAAACATATTGTTTCTAAAGTTCCTTTATCCTCAGTAAACATGTTGGGAAGCTGATGTCAGTAACTGGCACAGAGAGGCACAGCTTCAAGTGTTGCATATTTGCAGATATGCATTATACAAACACGTATCAGCACTTTGATTTCAGTTTCACAACATGTCACCAGTGGCCCTATTACCAAATGAAAAGTGGTAACTTGCCAGGACAGTTTATGTCACTATAAGGTAACTTGATTTTCCTTGTAAAACTCAAAAAATAAATTCTCCAACAAAAGCCTTGTCGTGAAGAAGAAAAAAAAATGTACTTCTTTTTGCTCACTCATAACCATCATTTGTTGGTTCTTTGTTGGTATCGACAAAATATCGATCAATCCCTCTGACTTGCACATTTGAGAAAACAGCACTCTGATTGGATTTAACATGGTAGAGAGTTTTATGGCTTGGATCCTATGGCTCAAAAAGATTCAGTATACACAGAGTAAGCAGAATCTATTAAAAAATCCCTACTGTTGTGAAACACTAGAATTTGCACAGTTTGACTAAAGATAAATGCAACGTGTGGCAGGCAAAAAGTGACAGGACTTGTATGCAGTTGCATGATCATATACACACACACGCACACACCATACACACGCTAACTAGTGTAAAGCTCTGCAGATATTAACCCTTTCACCAGCTATGTTCATGGAAATGCTTTCTTTAAGGCAGGAAGTATTTAAGTAAGATAAAGTTACCTTTATTTTATTCTTTGTACCTGTAAGTCATTTGTACAGATTGTGACAATTTCAAAAACATAAATAGTGTCCTTAGAACATGTTTCCTAAATTAAGTTGCTAAAGTTCTGACCCACTGTGGAAGACATTCACTGAAAGGCCATTTAACACTTTTCTCATACAATCAGCAAATTTATTGCCCCAGCATAGAAAAAAAACTGTTGATAAATTTAGAAATGTATCATGGCAGGGAACTCCCATTAGCAAAATCTGATTAAAAAGAAAAAAAAAGAAATCCTCAAATTCTTACCCACTGGTTAGAAAAAGGTTTATTTTCTTACAGCGTGTAGAATCTGTCTTTCCTGTGCGTTTCTACTGACCTTGTATTCCAATGCACTTTTTCCTGATCTTTTATATGGGTAAGAATCTGAACATACTCAGCTGTCTCCATCTAAGGATTAGCGTATACAAAAGTGATGTTTCCCAGTGAAATGTCTGCTGAGGACAAGGATGAAATAAGCAGGACACGTGTGTGAGCCCATGGCTTCCAGTTAAGCCTAGAACATAGCAGCACTGCCGTTTGATTAGATCCGTTTCTTTTTGCAGGAACAGGTATTTCAGCTGGGTAAGCAAGTGAAACAGTTCTCTCCCACCCCACATTGCAAAGTTGGTCATCTAGTGATCCGCTTACTGATTTGCTGTTTCATAAGGAGAAGAATCAGAACTAGAGCTTTTTTCACAGCAACCAATTATTTTGTATTTTAATTTTGGGATACTTTCCATAATGAGCTGATTCAAAAAATCTATTTGAAAAATATATATATTTTTATATATAAAAAACCCTCATTATGTTTTGACTGTGAACTACCAATTAGTTTCATCTTTCATCTTTGATTCCACCCTATTGCAGGAAACAGCTTAACCAAGCTTGCATGCTAATTATTCCTCAGATGCAAGCATGTAGGCATTTCGTATTTTGCCTAGTGAAAGGGCTAACCCTCCTTGACACACTCATGACTAGACCAGTGATTCTGAAGCAACATCCTGACCCTTAATACTGTCAGTTTCAAGCTATCAAGCTGAAAAATCCTTGATAAGGTGAGAAGATGTCACTGCGAATCAGTTAGATGATGTGCCTAGAGTTCTGCAATACCATTTTCTAGAGTTTTTTTATGCACCATTGATTGACAGAAAAAAAAAATCCGTTTTGCTTTGCTTTCCAAGTCGCTCTGTGCAATGACTGACTCTTTGATACTGTCACTTTTTAAAAGTAAACCATACCAGCCCTCGTCTTTCAACATCAAGGGGGCTTATGTCCGTTCCTTGGTTTCCACCTTCAAAGGCTTAAAAAAATGGTGTTGTCATAGATTCATGCGCAAGTGCTCTGGTCGTTTGGAAATCATGGGAAAAGCTTGTTTTTTGTATGGCCCAGAGTTTGGTTGCCGGATCGGAAGTGGTGCCGAGGCCTCTCCACAGACTGTCACATCCATTTGTTCTATTCCGCTTGTCTCCATTGGATATTCCACAGGTGTCTGAGTATTTGATGCGCCGGCAGAAGCACCTCTTCCCCAGAATTCCCCAGGGGAAAACTTTACAGGGCTTTAAAACAGGAAATACAAAAATCAGAGATGAAGATAGGCACAGCACCAAGGTACGTCCTTTACACTGCAGGAAGCTGAACTCAAATGCCTATTGAGAAGCATTTCTAATTCTTCCTTCCAGTCCCAAAAGTTTAAGAAAGTTTCCATGTCTCATTTCTACCACAATCTCTGGGGTGAAGTAAAACTCTCTCACTGGAGTAGTGAGGATATATTTCTAGATGACTGCAGAAGGGATTTTTTTGTACTAACGTGATTCTTTAGTGACATCTTTAAGATGCTGTGAAACAATTCTAGAAGGCTGGTGTACCAAAGTCACCAGACTCTGAGGTTCCCTCAGTGCTGAACAGCAAGCACATTAGTATTTGTGTGCCAAACACCACGGATTTGCCTCTAATAATGTTGTTTGTAGAATAGCATCAATACTGCACTTCTGATGGAAGTGATGTGCTTACTGAGAACTAAAATCTAGTGCAGATCTATTTCAGGTACTTGCTGAAAAGCATATTACAAAAAAGAGAGGGTAAAAAGACAAAGCAAAGAGATACCTGACTGGTGTCCTGGGGCTACCTATGAATCTGCGAGGTGATCGGATTTTTGGTTCAAAGGAAAATTTCTCTTTCACGCTTTCAAGTACAGATGGAGCCACGTATGTAAAACCCTGCAAAACAGGAACGAAGGCACTGTCACTTCCAGGCAAGGTTCAACTTGTGCAGTTTTGACTGGCATGAAATAGTGAATGAAAATTATAAAAGCAAGAGTAAATGGAGACGTAAGAATTTCTACTCACTTCCTGAAGCAAACAACAGGACTTTAGGAAGTTCCTCATCCGGGTGCCTGCACACCCCAGCTATTTCTACTCAGATCACAGATTCCCAGAGGCATACTCAATTCAATTAATTTTGCTCTATAGAACGGACACTGTTCTTGCTGCGAGACTATGAAAGCAATGACATGTCCTGGGTTCATAACACAACTATGAATTAGAATGCTGACATTTCAGAACGTAAGCAACATTTGTTGGCTGTTTTATCTGTATAAAGAAAGCGTCAGCAATAACCGAAGTATCTTCAAAGTCCTTAGAATATTTCAAACCTGTTGCAGAATGGGTGTTTAAAATTATGACAGTTTGCTTCAAGTATCAGGTGTTAAGATTCACTAGAACTAGTTTAGCTGATATGCCCTACTGTTCCCAAATAACACTACATACCTCTCCACAGTCCTTACGCACTTGGCCTTGGCTCACTTACCAGAAAGACCTGGTTGGCACTTTCACTGAGAGTAGAGTCATCTGGGCTATCAACTGGTGTCTGTCGTGTAAACTTTGAATCAAACTGGCTCACATCCTCTTCAGATTGCTTTGCAAAAACAAAATGATTAAGGGTTTATATTACAGATATCAACCAAATGGCTTAGCGGTGATCAGTGTAGCCTCTGGATGGAGTTCATTCCATAGGTTTTTGGCAGAGCTCTGCTGTAGTAAAACCCTGGAGAGGTGTCGGAATCCTGTCGCTGCCATTGGGAGGTCACTATGGGCACTGACACTGAGAAATAAAGGCAAGGGGGAGGGGCAAAAAATTATGGATCAAAAAGGAACACAAAAAGATGCCTTTTTTTAAAAAAAATCTCAAATTACAGACAAAAACTTTTAGAAATGTAATGTCAGCTTCTTGCAAGTTCAGCCCTTGTCACAACTCTAGTATAGAACAGTTGCAACTAGTAGTTTTTGGATGCCTCTCCAGATAATTTCATCCCACTTTTGCAGATACAGAGGTGTTTATACTGTGAGGGACAGATGAGAAGTCTGGAATAAGTGACTATGAAGAATATGGTTTAATTTAAAGAATAACAAGATGTAATTCCATGATCTAAGTGTAACTGGAAAGGCAACATGTATTCATTTATGCAGGCCTCCACCCTACCATGAAATCGCATTTTCAAAAATCATCTGGTTTGTGCAAGTAATCTTCATAATTTTTGCTAATAACAGGTAAACCCCAAACTATGTTCAGATAATACACTTGGAAATACCAGTCTTGGGTCATTCTGAATTTCATTCAAGATGGCAGGCATAAAAGGTCTGGAGTCCCCATGCTGCAGTATGCTCAACATCAGTGATGCCTATATCAGTTTAAGGTGAGATTTTTTGAGCAGTCTGGAACTATCAGGGTAGCAATACCCATTGCTGCTCTAGCTAACTGTACCCAGAGAGGAAAAAAAAGACACCTCACACTATGAAAATACTAGATAAGATAATAGAGGCTTATTCATCACATCACTGGTTTGAGTGAAACTTTAATTACTGCCTATAACACACAAAAGATGCATTGTAAATATTAATAAGCAAACACAATATGCTTCATTAGGGGATTTCATTTAGTTTTGCTTAGCAACCATTTATCATCTTAGTTTCAACTACGTGCTGACTTAGTTTAATGTTTAGAATTTATAACATTTATGTTTACTGACTTCCTGTATAATGTTTAGAAGCAGAAATTCAGAGGTAACTGCACTCACAAGTCTGTTTACCCTATAGTTTAGAAGCAGGAGGAATTAAAACTGAAGCAGAACCTTCTTCCTCCAGGAGACTCAGAAGAATAAATTAGCCCTTAGCTGATTTTTTTCCACCTTCTCACATAAAAGAAACAAGATCCTATTCCAGTGACCAGTGACTCACTACTCCAGTGAGTACCGTGACCACAGAGTAGTAAGACAGAACAGCGTGCTCATGACAGCCAGTATTTCATGCTCTTTGGAGACTTAAAAAGTTTTTTAATGCTGATACAGCATCAGTTCTCAGGAGAAAAAAAAAAAACCATGAGGTAGTATAGATCAGGTGGTAGATCTGCTATCTTTATTTGACAAGAGTGAATCTGAGAACCAGAACCTGAAGGTGATGCATTTAACTATTTAAAGTACCAGAAACCAGTAGGCACTTCAGTTTGCCAGAATTAACGTTTGTAAGTTTTAGATTCCACATTATTTAAGACCTTCACTAAAAGCCTTTTCTTAAAGATACATGGAATATCTCGCAGTGTTCTAAGTACATACCAATAAGGGTTTAAAAGGAGGTTCCACCTTTCGTGCCAATAGCTCATCCCAGTTAATGTGTCGGAAGAATGGGTGAGCCTATAAGGGTGAGGAATAGCACAGTCATAACCCGCCTTCTGGGTATAAATCAAGAATCAAGCAGCATGTTTTTTCAGACCTTCTCTGTGGTGTCTTTCTTTCCAAAATCACATACGGGTCTACTGTAATATATTCTGCAGCCCTACATCAGAATAGCTGGAAGAGCTGAAAATTCATAGCATGCCTCCAGGTCGAACAGCATATGTCCCTTTCATGTTTTCCTTTAAAGTATTAGAAAAAGCCAATTTACATGCAAAATATTTTTTAAATTTAAAAGTTAGATATCTAAAAATGATGATACTGCATTAATGACAAATTATCAAAACTGAAATAAGGATGACTCTAATACATTGTTAATCACACCACAAAAAAAAGGTCAAGCTGGAAGCAACAAGAATCAGGCCTCTACCTTAACTTCCAACCATGCAACGCTGAATGCAAACTAATGCCACTTTTCCCTTGGAAAAGCTACACTAGATGCAAGGGCTGGCAGGTTTTTTGTCAGACTGCCAGAGTATCGTTGCTCTTATATTGTTGACTATACAATTAGCATTGTGCAACTAACAGAAAAGATTTACTGGAAGAGAGAGCTAAAGAATAGAAGTTACTTTCCAACTCTTGTAATTATCAAATAGGTAGACAGCTGCTTCTGTTAAGCTTTAAAGGATCCATAGTTTGATCAGCTGTCACATGGGTTTGCCTCTTTGCTCGTTACACTTCAAGACAGACATACTCTCTGTCCCCAATGTACCCTCAAAGCTGTTTTATTTTCAATAAGGTAATTTAAGAATTCTCAAGTTAAGCCAAAGTTACCTGAACTTCTCCAGCATCTCCAGGACCAGCTCCTAGACGTGAAGCAGCATTTCTTTTTAGCAGCTTCATGAGAAATATCCAAAAAGCAAAATTAGTTATACCGTTATGACGAGACTAGTTTTGACATGAATCATCATCTGAATGAATACCGTGCAGAATGAATGCAAAACGATCTGCATGCATTAGAAACCAGTTGTATTTTCAAGGAAAATCACTTTTTGTACCATGCAAAACAAAACTGACTTACTTGGAATAAAATAAGCTTGGACTGAATAGCCATAGTGGTACCATTACATTTCTATTTTCTACATACACATGTAGTACTGACATTCACTAAAATCCTACCTTTTTAAGCAGATCTCTGGCTTCTTGTGTGAGGTAGGGAGGCAAGTTGAGTTTACACTTGAGGATCTTGTCAATTGTCTTCTTTCTATTCTCCCCAGTGAAAGGAGGCTGGAAAGCACCATTGATATGGGAGGAAAAATACAACTTGTTCAGATCTCTTATTTGTGTATACAGAACTCACTTCAGTAATTTAGAAAGCAGATAAAACTACTGCAAATGGGACTTCCTAATAACGGGATGAGAGCAGCTAACAACAGTAGTCAGCATCAGTGTAGCTGTGTTTTAGTTACTTCTTACTTGCAGTCTGTATATATACAAATGTATATGTATTTACACATGCATCAGAATTAGAATACAGGTAACTACAAAAGCTACAAAGAGAAATACATGCAATTATAACTGTGCACCTACTGCTCCAGTCAGCATGTCATACATTAGTGCCCCCAAACTCCACCAGTCCACAGCACGATTATGCCCACTCCTCATCAAGATTTCAGGGGCCCTATAATCAGAAAAAATGAAAATATGGAAGTATTTTAACAAGCTTAATTCTAATTTTGACTACAAATTTTCAAACAAAACCACACTTATCAAGTAAAATTTCCCTTAGTGACTGAGCATAGGAACCATCAGTTAAAAAAGGCAGAATTTAGTCTTTACCCCCCAACCAGAGTAATACTTTTCTATTTCATCATGCAGCTCACATGTATTCAATTGTTCCACAGAACGTGTGTGTGACTGTTCCATCATGAATGGATTCTTTACATAATCCGAAGTCAGTCAATTTTACATGACCTGAAATTAAATATATAAAATTTAAGACTCGCCAGAATTCTGAGATTTGTGTAACATTAAAAAACAGGAATTTTTAACATGGATACGTAGTAACTCTGAACTACTTCCACATATCTTCAATAGTCTGACAAAGTGATACAGCTGTAAAACAGAATGAGGCAATCACACTTGCAGATAAAACCTCTGCATTACACCTGCATAAGAAGCCATTGCCACTTGAAGAGAAACAAGACAAACTACCAAACCTTATTCACGTATAATGTATTTAAAGATTGTAGAGCATCACTCAGGTAACAAAATAGGATATCAAGTGTTACTGCTTTCTTCAAGGTTCAGAGAACCTTCAACAAATTGTAAAGTGTCCTGAGTAATTCAGAATAAAGTTGTCTTTGTAGCAAGTCAGCCGTTAAAAAAAATGCCTGTGTCTCTACACATACAACTTGCAGCTTGCTGCGACCTGTTAAAGCCAAAGAAGCTGTGTTTTAAACAAGCAATTAGCTTTGGCAATTCTTCAGTTATACTGAGAAGGATAAGGAACATGCCCATGTTCTAAAGGAAAATCACGTAACAGTGACAAGTTTTGACCTTTGAAGAACTGTTTCCTAATGACTGGTAACGTAACTGTTGCTGTATTTCTACCTTGGTGATTAAGCATGATATTTTCTGGCTTCAGATCACGGTAGATGATTCCTTTTTGATGCAAGTGCCCCAGTGCCATTGAGATTTCTGCCAAGTAAAAGCTGTAAGGAAACATACACCACAAAATCAGACGTATTCAATCATGCAAAGCATCTTAAGCAGCAAGGCTATTACGTACATAGCAACAGTCCCTTGAAAGCATCATTAGAAGTGTCTGACAGAATAAATGAGAGAAACAATGATGCCTTTGAGGCTGTTTTGCTAAAAGGCATACACACTCCAAGATAAACTACAAAATGACACCATTAGCATTAGACTTACCTGTTCAGTAGCTATCTTATCATGCATATATTTGGAGGAATCTGAATTTACTAGTGTTTGAAATGCTTCAATCTGTATTGCCACATCTAGATGGCTAAGTGGAAGAAAAAGTAAATGAGGCTAGGAATGTAATGGGCAGCAGGCAGAGTACATCAAGGCTTTTCTAAGGCATTACTGCCCTGCACAGACATAACTAGTCAGTTCTGTGAAGCCTAATCAATAAGGGACAATTTCAACTTGTTTATATGTAAAATACCACTACTCAAAAGGCTTTTTCTCCTTCATTACCATAATTACCTTTATCACTTCACACACAAATACAGCCATTGCAGTGAATGGGCTGCCCAAGGAAGTTGGGAATGCTCCATCCCTGGTGTTCAAGGCCAGGGTGGACAGAGCCTTGGGTGACACCGTTTAGTGTGAGGTGTCCCTGCCCATAGCAGGGGGGTTGGAACTAGATGATCTTAAGGTCCTTTCCAACCCTAGCTATTCTGATTCTATGACTTGGAAATTCTGTAACTGGCTGGTAGAATGGTGTGTGAATAGAGAAGGAAAAGAAATTTATATCAAGTCTTTCACAATCTTTTCTTCATCACCCAAACCACTTCCTTTACCACAACCATACGGAATACAGCCAGCAACCAGCAATGGACCCTCTTCTGTAGGAAGACTGGAGTTACACCAGCACAAACTGGTAAGTACAGAACACACGTATCTTCCCAAACCCAGTTAACTGCTCTTTTCACTAGACTATGAAATGGGTAAGTAGTTTTTCAAGTTAGAACATACAGTTTAAACACTTGAAAAAAACCCAAAACTATTAATTTACCAGAATTGTTTCACTTACCAGGCTGTGTCTTCCATAAATATCCCTTCTCTCTCTAACTGCATAAATAGTTCTCCTCCTGTCATGAGTAAAATCATGAGATTATACTCTAGTTAAGGTATTCTTTTTTAGTCAGTCAAGTCTTACTTTCTAGAAGAACTATAATCAACAGGTATTCTGTCCTGCTCTACAAAAAGCTGTTCCACAAAAACAACTGAGAACTTGCTATCCTGTTAATTCTCAGAATTCTAGCAACCTAAAGAAATTCCAAAAGAAATTCCAGAAGAAATCAGAGCATGTTGAAAAAGCCAACAGCATTTCTGTCCCTCCTTATTCTGCTGTTACAGCTTAGGCAAATTTCTTCTAACCTGCGTCCTGTTTTCCTACCCATGAAATAAAGATAAAACTTTCTTGTTTCACAAAGAATCTGCAAGGACTAAAATCTCAGGTACTCTGTATGACTGTACAGAATCTAAGTGTGACATAGAGGAATTACAAGCCTGATGGAAGAAAAGGTACAGAAAACCCTCCTCTCATGTAGTGTTATGAGAAATAACTATTTACATTTCATTCATTTTTAACACACTGAATTAGAAGGTTTATTAATGTGATTCTGTGTATTTCACTACTAACCAATTTTACATCTTAAGACACCGTGCCAATAGTTAGCTGGCCTTCTACAGGTAGACTAAGAAATCCAAATTCTTGATTACGTAAGACACCTATAAGCAGGTAACAGAATTTCGTATACTGACCACTGAGATACTCAAGGATGAGGTAGAGTTTTCCACCAGTCTGAAAGGCATAAATTAAGTCTACAATGAAGGGATGTTTTACTTCCTCCAGTATATTCCGCTCTGCTTTTGTATGAGCTGTATCTTTTGCGTTCCTTACAATCATTGCCTACAAAAAGCAGAGATATGTCAGCACAAGAACATGCTAAACAAGGCCACCACAATATATACATAACGTGAAAGGTTCCGTGTGGAAGTTGAAGTTATTTATTTCATAGAATTATAAGATAATGTAGGTTGGAAGGGACCTCCTGGCCTATTTAAGCTATCTGCTAACAACTGCACAGCCAGAACAATTTCAAGTTTAATTCTAATTCCAACTGCACCCCTGAATAGAGGATAAAGTTTATTTTTGGTAAATGAAATAATCAGATAATTGTAAAAGCTTAATGGAGGGGCACATTATTTTTTTTTACATTTAAGCTGTAGTGAACTGTGAACATTCGTTACCTTTTTAAGAACTTTCATGGCAAATATTTTCCCAGTGTTTGCTCCAGTTACTTTTCGTACTTGAAATACCTACACAACACAATACAAATGCAAACACGTTATGACCACATTTGCCATCAGAAGTTAAAAATCCAAGCTCTGCAAAAGAGAGACGAGATGACCCACAAACTGCACCACTACCTGAAGAGCTAGTGGTCTGAACCAGGACCAGGCTGGGACATTCCCTACTGCCACCAGCTGGCGAGGTTCTGCCAAAGGACTTCAGTCCAACAGCACCAACCCTTTAACTGCCTTCAGTGTAATAGGGTTTACTTCTGGAGAAAAGAGTTCCTTACCTTTCCATAGCCACCTTTGCCAAGTACGCGCAGTAACTCAAAGCACTCTGGGCGGATCTTTTCTGGACCTCTGTTTACACTAGTCTCTGAAATCTCAAATTTTTCACAATGTTCCATGCCACTGGATAAAACCGAAACAACAATATAAGACTATCTAATACTCAAAAAATCAATCAACTGAAACTAAGCAAGCAAATTACTTTCTGAAAAGCATACAGTGTATCTGATATCGCTATCAGATGTTTTATTTTGGGGCGTGCAAAGCAGTAAGTTGCAACTTGCACAGGAAAGATTACCTGCAAATTTGGGGGATTTACAGTATCAAGATTTCCTTCAAATCCCTTCATTTTAATGCATAATCTCTGCATTACACCAGAATTCAGTTTAAAAGCCCAAAGCCTCAAACTGACTTGGATGTTTGTGTAAGACCTCAAGTAAAGACAAGGCAAGTTGTGTTTAAGTTTCAGATCATATTCAGCAACCCCAAAAGTCATGGTAACACTCCTACAACACAAATATTTTGCAGAAAAAGCTGCAATACAAAAAAAAGTCTCACAACTCTGAATATGCCACAAAAGACTGATCCATAATTTAATGATGCTTCTAGATTATGCTACAGTTCTGCAAAAGACGTAACAGATTGAGCCTGCTAAAGTAAATATCACTGCTTTCTTCTCACAACATAGTAAACTGAAACAATCTGGAAATCTACAAATCAAGTAATGCTAAAGGTAGCTGTCTCCTGAACTTCAAATCAGAGCTTCTGAAGTCTCATTTGCTTCAGACTGCTACGCAGATCTGCCACTGGAGCCTTTAGAGCATGAACAGAACATACATGTTCTGCAGACAGTACATTATCTTCAGATTACAAATATCGTCCAAGCACAAGAGATACGTTGGGAGAAACAAGGATTAAAAGACAAACAGCAAGTTTGGACAGAATTTGTTTTTATTATTATTTCAAGATACAGTTCACAAATTTTTATCTGAAGAAATACTGGAAGGACTAGAAACAACTCAAAATTGAACAAGGGTAACAATTTTTTTCTATTTAACTTAACAATGTAGCAAAATTAGAAGTTATATATAGTTGGCATAAATGATACGGAACATTTTCTAGCAGCAACTTACAGGTCATATTGGCCAACTCCTCCATGGTCCATGCTCTCACTTAATTGACCCTGGGGATGGGAGGGGTAGAAGGAAAATTATAAGAAAAAAAAGCAGAGTTAAAAATGTGTTTTACGACTTCTTAAATTATAACATAGGTCAATATATAATTATGATTTATACGATACAATCAAACAAGCCAAAAGACCAGGAATAAGAACTTAGCAGCAGAAGATAAGAGATCTACAAAGGTCTGTGTGAGATTTGCAATACTTCCACAGTGACACAGGAAACCACTGTTTTACCTGACTGCATTGAGACTCAACCGCTGAAATACTAGAGGTAAGAACTTTGCACCCCCGGGGTGAATTTGAAAAACACTGATGCACTGCATTTGTTTTAACAGTTGCTCTTATAGACAGATTTTTAAAACATATTACAGTAAAGGTGGTGTGAATAAAGTAACCAGGGTTTCTACACACTAGAACAAATAATGTAGTGAGAACGTTTTCTCCTGTATTTTATCCTGTATTGGCAAATCCCAATACTAATGAAAGACTAAGCTTTACTCTAATGTTAAATACCCTTCCTGACCAATATCATCCAGATAGATTAATGTATGCAAACGTTACTAACGAAGGTTCAAGCACTTCAAAATCAGAACTAGTCAGTTCAAAAGAATTTACTTTGATTCTGAAGAAAGATTTTCTTCAAAGAATTTTAAACATGATCCCTTATGCAAGATAATGCTTCCCTGTAACTGTGGCTCTAAGAAGTGCAAACCAAGCAGACAGCTGGAATGAACGCAAATAGAACTTAATGGACAAGCTGCTAATAAGCTTTAGACTATACATTAACGTTTTTATTTTTAAAAATAGGTACAAAAAAATAACAACCGCAAGTGAGCGAGGAACAGCCTGAAATCTGCAGGCTGGATACCCGTATATTGAGTGAGATGGGAAATTTAGAGAACCAGAAGGGGAAAAAAAGCAAACATGGAGATCTGCTTTCTGCATTTTCAACTGCTACGGAGGTGAAAACACTGACCCAAGAAAATCAGAAACTTTCAACAGCTTCCAAACTATTTGAACATTAAAGTCTACACAGGCTGGTTTACTTTGGTGGGCAATCTAGAGGGAGATTTTAACTCCTGGTTTCACCTATTAGCACCACAAGCAATTATGGCATCCAAAAGGTCAAGTTTGCTTCCAGGCCAGAGAGTTGCTGGCTTGTATAGTCTGGATAATATTTATTAGGGAAATCCAGATTATCAACATCTGTTTGGATGCCAAGAAACCAATTACAAATCAACAGAGAATAAACACCCATTCCATCCCTACAACAGCTTCTCAAGTAACCCAAGGGTTCTGGGACAGTTTACACATGCGTTTCTCACTCCTGTGAACTATGGTTTTCATTCTCAGTATTACTTTAAACAAAATTCACTTTAGACACCATTCCACTACTTTCAGGATTTCTTCTTGTTTCTCAAGCCCAAGAAATGTAGCGGTGGTCTGGCTGGGAGAGTAGCAGATCTTTAGTCTGTGGCTATACGTGGCTCCATTTCTTACAAACACAAAAATTAACGCTGCTTTTTTTCCACCACAATAATTAGCACAACAAACCATGCACCTTAGGAATAAAGTGCCCATTTAAACGATTCTGCATTTTTGCTACAAAGCCCATGCCTACTCAAAACTACATCTGACCTCTCCTTGCTACTCCTAGGCTCAGAGCTTTCAAGAGGTACCAGGGACCAGCACCACAGAGATCTGACAAGCTAGTCGAGACTTTACACCTTGCTCACTTCTAGTTTCATCTCAACTACTCTGCCTTCAATGTCTTTCTGACGCACACCTACAGAGATAACCTCCAGTTTCCTCCTTACATGTTCCTGACACTTCCCCTTCTTTGCTGCTCTTATATTCCTCTGCTTTTCAGTTCTAATTTCAAGACCACTCTTACTCTCCTTTCTGTGTTTGCCAAAAGGCACCTCAAAACCACATCAGGTTGCCAATGCACATTCATGTCCACATGCCATAAAAAAATTCAGTCACAGCAATAGTTTTAAATTAAATAACAAATTAATTTTTTACTTGGTCCCCAAGATGTATTTGGGAACATGAGATAGAACAAATTCAACTTTCTTGCCACCCCCCTCAGAACCTGTTCTTGGCAGCATTAATGGCGTGATGCAAGAGACATTGTTTTAAGCCAAGGACTTTATTGATCACTGAGGTGACAGACAGTGCTTTTCCCTGTAGGCTGAGAAGCTTTTGAGCTGCCGGCTGTCAAACAATGTCCCTAAAGTTCATATGCAGTGTGGGTATTCCAACTCTGATAAGAGTATCCGGTTATCTCAAAGACACCAGGGATGTCATTAGGATTTAAATAGCAAAAAATAATTGCAGTAGCAGTTTAAGCAACAGCAAATGTTTAATATACAAAACAATATAAAAAAGCAACAGCAACACTAAAAAAATATATACAGAGACCCTGTAATAAAATTTCCCCAAAGCCTCAGCAGGATCTGTAGGAACATTTCCGTTCTACGGTTACAAAACGACAAACTGCAGATTACAAGGTGAACCGTTCAGGGAAGCGTGGGATGGAGATGCACGTTGATCCACAGAGACATCTAACAGCGCTTTAAAGCTCTGCGTTTAATTTTGGCGCTAGAGCAACCGCTTTGCACAGTTCCAGAAAGGTTTGCGTTTCTGCACTGGCGTTAGGACATGCGGCAATAAAAAAATAAATAAAGCAAACCACCAAAAACCCCAACCAAACAGAAAAAAAAACAAACGCAGCGCGCTCTTGCGAGGAAACGCAACGCAAAACTTCTAAGGGAAAAGCTGCTGCAAGCCCGGGGCAGCCGCCACCGGCGCGACATCAGCGCCCGGTGCAGGGCACGACGCCGCTCCCCTAGAGCGACCGTCAGGCTCCGGCCACTGCCGGCCGTGGGGCCGCCGCAGCTGTGCTGTGCTGCAGCGCGGGCGCCTCTCACCAGGCCGGGCGCGGTCGCCGCCTCACCTGTTCGGGCCAGGGCGGCGGTCGCCGCCTCGCTCCGCCTCACCCGGCTCCCGCCCCGCCGCACGGCCTCCGCCCGCCTCCGCGGGGTCCCCGCCAGGCCGCATCGCAGGACGTCCCCCGGCCCGGGCCCGAGGGCTGCCGCCCGCTCCTTGCCCCTCAAGCCTGCCCCGCAGCGCCGCACCCTCCCCGCGCCGCGCCGGCTCGGGCTGCCCCTTCTCACCCCCTCCTCCAGCTCCTCGTCCGAACCCGCGTCCTCAGGCTGGTCCAGGTCGATGTCGAACACGCCCGCCATGGCGCGGGTGGGAGCCGCGGCACCGCCGCCCCTTCCTGGCTGCGCTGGGTGCACGGGGCCTGGACCGCCTCATGGGCCCGCACCCCCCAACGCCACCGCGGACGCCATCATCGGCTGGCCGCACTCAGCGCGCCTGCGCCCCCGCCCCGATTCCGGGCTCCACGCATGCGCACAACTCCTTCCGGCAGCGGCTGGGGCCGGACTGAGCGTGCGTGAAGGGAACGCGGCGAGGTGGACGGGAGCGGTGCCGGCGCGGAGCATGCGCGGTGCGCGCCCGCCCGCCCTGCTCCTGGCATAGAGCATGCGCAGAGGGAACAGCGAAGTCCCTGTCGAGGAGCATGCGCACAGCCCTTCATGAAGCCATGAGGACCGACCCTCGCACCCGGCCTGCCCGCCACCTGTTCTGAGCATGCGCGAAGCGGGCTCTTCGAAGACGCGTCTCGGTGCGCACCGGTGGGGAAGGGCTTCGCGGGCTGCGCATGCGCGGTGCCTGAGCGCCTCAGCGCGGGCACTCTGAGGGGCCGGGGCCAAGGGCGGCCGCGGGCGCTGGAGCCCCGCGAGGGGGAAGGGGCCGAGGGACGGGAGGCAGGCAGGCACCGGGAACATGGCGGCCCCGGAGGGCAGGCGGCCTGCGGTGGGTCCCCCCCACACAGATGGGTGGCTGCAGCTCCGGAGGGGAGGGCGCCTTCTCGGCGGAGTACAGCGATAACGGGCACGGGAGGGTCGGTACGCGCCGGGATTGGACATGAATCTTTTCCGAAGATCATGTACATGGCTTGTTTATTGGTTTGCTTTCTCGGTGCGGTGTAACGCGGTTTGCAGTAACACACAGGCTGGCTTGAGGCTGGGAGGTGCAGACTGGCAGCAGTGCTGAAATCAAGCACGGGATTCAAGAAATAACACGTAAAATGCCTCCAGAATGCAGCAGGATGGAACTGCAGGCACTGGCAGTTACCCAAAGTTACAGATGTGTATGGCACATCTGATAAGGAAAAGTAGCAGCCCCAGGATAATGAAGTGATTAAAAAAAATGGCCTTGTCTCTGTGAAAGGAGAGCCAAAAAGCGAGAAAACAGCTACTGCAAGATGCTGGGGGGGGGGGGGGGGGGGGGGAATGTCAAAACATCCCAAAATTGCATCCAAAACTTTGCTGTCCTTGGTGGAAGCAAAAGGAATACTTTTGTCACCTCAGCAGGCTTTGCCATCAGGCCCATAGCAGGACAGTAGTGGAAGTCGGCTAGGCTTTTGAACAGGCTTCACGTTGCCAAAAGCATGGGGTGCTTCCTTACGATGCTACAACCTAATCTGATAATTTTGTTTGAGCTACAGCTATTTGTTTCTGTCCTGCCTTACAACGCGAAAGAAAGGAAATACAGATTTTACTGGCTCCCTCCAGGTGTAGAGCAACAGTAAACCCATGGATTTCCTCTCGATTGCCATCCAGTTCTGACATCCAGGATAAAGTGCTCACCGGCTGCTTTTCCCCACACAGGGTGGCGGCTGTAGCGTAGCCTTCTCCTCACTAGAGGGTCTCATAAAATGGCAGAACTGATCAGAAATCTTGTCAGAACCTTTTTCCTTCCTGTGTTCTCCACTGTTACTGAAGTCATACTTCTCGTTTTTAGGCCTAAATGCAAAGTGAATAAGAATGTCAATAGTCACAGTTCAGCTTGGTCAATGTGGGAATCAGATTGGTCATGAGGTGTTTAACACTATCTGTAGTGACGTCCGCGACACACATGGGTTGTGTTCCAAGAAGGAGAACGAATCCTACTGTGATGCTTGCAAAGAACGTTTTTTCTGCGAGGAGCAATTTGAAGGTACAGCATTTAAGTGCTTGTTTCCCACACAGGGTCTGTTTTCCAGCCTAATAGCCTAAAGAATACAGAAATAATAGAAGTCTTTAACCTTCAGCTGAAGAATGAGTTTTATCCATCTTCAGTCTCGAAGAATTGTCACAACCCTCTGCCTTCAAAACATTGGTAACAACCATGGAAGCACAATTTGTGCAGTAAATGCCCAATACCACAGAGCAACTGTGGCAGTAACGCAGCATAAATGCATACATAATCTTTCCTTCCAAATCTGCACTTTCACTGTAGATGGATTGCACCACAGAGTAGGACCCAGGGTATCTGAATTTGGTGTTACCAAACACATTAAGTGGATTCTTTTCTTAAAGATATATGGTCTCTAGAGCTCAGATTTGTCTTTGGAATAATAGATGGTTAACCAGACTTTGCCAGGTCCTTCTTTCTGTACTTGCCTCTACTCTCCCATTAATAGTTTGTCTTATGTGGAAGGAATACAATCTGGGCTGTGGTTCAACTTCATCCATCTTACGGAAACATGTTCCAATATTGGCACATTATTCTTAGTTCTGTTTTTCTTCCTGTCCAGTACCTGTTGCCCGGGCTGTGCTTATTGATATGGAACCTAAAGTAATCAGCCAAACCGTATCAATGGCTGCCAGGTCTGGCTGCTGGAAATATGATGATGGATCACACTTCTGTCAGAAGCAAGGATCTGGGAACAACTGGGCAAATGGGTATGAACAATGGTTTCTAGCTTCACTGGGGACTGTAGAGGCTATTGAGGGGTCTAGACCCTCTGGGAGTGGTAGTATTACAGCTGTGTGAGGTACAGAGTGTAACATTAACTTGATTTATTTTTAAGTTAAAGCAGCAATATATAGAACAGTGAAATTTCTAAACTGTCTTTTGCAAGATGAAACTGGTGTAACATTTTAGAATCGATTTAGATTAAATCAAATTAGATTTAAGAATAGGAAACAATCAGGACAGTTTATAAACTGCTGTTTGCAAAATATCACTTGAGGACTGTTTACTGCAGATAGAATGGATGACAATGTGAGGTCATATAAATAATAATAAGAAAAGTATGCTTTATGAATAGCTTCACCTTTCTGCTTTTATTTTGATATAAACTGCCACGTCTTGCTGTCTTGTCTGTTATTCAACAGTTATTCTGTTCACGGGCCTAGACACAAAGAAGTGATAATGGATCTGGTGCAAAAAGAAGCAGAGAAATGTGATCGACTCGGTGGATTTTTCACAATCATGAGCATGGCTGGTGGTACAGGGTCTGGCTTGGGAGCATTTGTGACCCAGTGTTTAAGAGATGCTTTTCCAAGCTCATTTCTACTAAACCATGTTATCTGGCCCTACAGCACTGGTGAGGTGAATGTCGTATTTCCCAGAGACACTCTACAAGTTGATAGTCACTGTTTACTTCTAAACATACAATTTCTGTAACTGAAACTAGAAAAGAGGTACATTTTACTTTTAAAAAATGCAACATAACAGAAAGCAACACAGCTAATGTATTGTTTGCTAATATTTGGTACATGTTGTTTCACACCCCCAAAAAAGAAAATTCTCGAGAAGTGCTCAAGTATGATGCAGTTTCATGAGAAGCTCTATGAGAGAAGTAGAAATCTGCTGTTATGGTAGTATCTCAGCATTATAATCAGTTCCCAGAAAGATTTTATTGGCATGTTTGTGTGAAGTGAGATTGATAACATGATTTTTACAGGTCTTGCTCTCCTTCCGTGAAAAAACTCTGTTTGTTTGTTTCCAGGTTATTGTTCAAAACTACAACTCTGTTTTGACTCTGTCACATCTGTACAAGTCAGCAGATGCTCTTCTTGTTCATGAGAATGATGTTGTCCACAAGATCTGTGCTCAGCTGATGAACATTAAACAGATCTCCTTCAGGGATATAAATCAAGTCATTGCACATCAACTGGGGAGTGTTTTCCAGCCCACTTACACAGCAGAAGGTGGCTTGCACTACAGCAGAAACCCATTAGGTATCTAAATACAATATAGCTGACTAGTGCAAACTCACACACCTTTCTGTAATCATTTCATATTGTAAATTTAAGTTCTTCAGGCTCCTTACTCAAGTGTTCAGATACATCCCAAGTTTTAAGATAGGAAAAGTGTAGCAAAAGACTGAATCAGAACTTCAGTCCCAGTTTTGTAGCAGAGTCAGAAACAGATCCCTCAGCTTCTGGTTTCATTCTTTACAAAAAGAACCCTGGTTTCTCCTTTTTCAAGACACTCTTGTACCTATTTTACATTTCAGAGGCAATTTGCACAGGACAGTAATTTTGGACTGAGTTTTAAGTTTCACATTAGGTTAGAAGTTTGTATAAACTGAAACCGAATGAAAGGTTTGTGTTTGGCTCAAGCAGAAGACAGGCTAGCATACAACTTTGTAGCAACAAGCTGACATTTGTATCTTTAAGGGATTAGAACAAGTTAGCCATATTGCCAAGAGTTTTGCTTGTAAAATCATAGAATCATAGAACAGTTAGGGTTGGAAAGGACCTTAAGATCATCCAGTTCCAACCCCCTGACATGGGCAGGGACAGCTCCCACTAAACCATGCCACCCAAGGCTCTGTCCAACCTGGCCTTGAACACTGCCAGGGATGGAGCACTCACAGCTTCCCTGGGCATTAAATTAAAAATTAAACTCTGAGATCTGTCTTTCTCTAGCAGTGCATTGTGGTGAGACTGAGCCAGACTACAAAGTGAGACAAGTCTAAATTGCAAAATAAGAGCAACTAACCTTTATAGAACTCAGTAGTACGTAGCAAGTTTGTATTACTTTGTCCAATATCTGTCCATATATTTGTCAAATTAAAATGTTATATATCCCACTTTGTTTCTTACCTTAACTTGCTAGATCTTTGTAAGATTCCCCACTCTCCTATTTTAGCCTATGCAATATTTTTGTCAAACATGAGCAGCTGTTAATTTCTTCCTTCAGGAGACTTAATGGAGACGTTAGTTCCACATCCTGAATTCAAGATGTTGGGTCTTCGTAACATACCTCAGATGCCTGAAAACTCCCTTGCTTATAGCACATTCAGTTGGCCTGGACTCATCAAACATTTAAGGCAGATGCTCATTGCTAATGCTAAAATGGAGGAAGGTAAAAGACATTCACTCACCTTCAGTATCCATCACTCGTTAAGCATTTGTTTTTACAGAGCTTATTGTTTTGTGGAACTTGTGATTAACTTTAGTCATTTCAAAAATGAGTTGCTGCCCTCAGACAGCAG